GTAGGATAGGGCCTTGTTATAATTTTTAAATCCTAAAGTGCAATTACAATGATATTGTGGTGTTTATTGTAATTAATTAGATGGGATAAAGGTAGGTATCTAATTGGAGTTATGATAAGAATCCCTTTTGATCCTCATCTCTAGCCCCATCTATATACGGTCTCTTAGGTTGTTAATGATGTATACACACGCACATAACTACAATATACAGAATAACGAGAGTGAGAGATATTAATTTTTCACAAATGTACCTGTGTATTCCGGGAATATAAATGTGAATGTTTACTGGTGTTCAAGGCCAAAGAAGGAGCAATCTAATTCACTGTTATTCTCAGAATGTTGACGATTAATCAATCGTAAAAAAGGTATGAGATCTTTTTCAATAGTTCTTGATTTGATGAAATATTATGTAATTAAGATTCAAAAAATTTTATAATCGCTTATGTTTTTCCTTCAATTAGTACTTTGGAGTGGAACTAGTTAATCTATTTTTTAATTATTCAAATAATATTATGTCATTGGTTAGTGATACACTAAATAATTTTAGTCTAACAAATCGGACAATTACCAACCTCTAATATAAAAAATAATAATAAAAAAGAATCTTTTCTTGTGAGGGAGATTCTTTTTTTGAGTGATTTTGTTAATTTAATGAACAGTACAACGGAATCCAACACAAGCCGAGCTGTTAAAACTTGGCAGGGTCCTAATATTATTATAATTCCCACGAATCACAGAATAACAGAATCTATTATCGACATTATTCAATTATTATAGTGTATTAACAGGCTGCAGTAATCACATTTTCTCATTATAAAACACTTGATATGTCATGTCATTATGTGTTAGCAACATTATTCAATTACTACACTGTATTCACATTGTATAATATTAAAAGGCCAAACCGACCAGTGCACTCATGTTCCACAAATTTTTTTTTTCGCTTTTTTTTGTCCATCACCTTTGTGGATCTCAAAAAATGACAGCATTTCTTTGGCAATATGAACTGATTAAAAAGCACAAAAACCTCGTAATTGTTAAAAACAAATAATTTCAGTGGTGTAATATATAGTAATAAGATAAGTTTTGTTCACTTCTTAACTATATTGTTTATAAGTTCTGTTCACATGTCAACTATATTATTTATCTGAGCTTGCTCGAGTGTTGTGGTTTGTCAGTATCTTTTGCACTCGTTCACAAGACACTCGTTTTAAGGTCGTCACAATTACCTTTTTTTGGGATCAACGTATTCGTTAGCTACACTTTCGGCTGGATTAGACTTTGATATCATTTGTAACAAATCATTCCATCACATATTATGATGTTGTCCGTTTTGAATCCCTAAGTCTGCACTAATTTGCTCTTAAATTTTATCCCAAATGGCTTTCTACCAATTGGAGTGGTACACCTACATATATAACATTTCATATTTTCACACCCAAACAATATGAGTTGAAAAATAAATATAACTTGTGTCCTCTGACCACCAAAGGAATTATTTGCACCAAAGAAAAATTGAACCTCATACCTGATACCTGATGCATCACGACAAACCAGAGTCAGTCATGGTAAGAATGACATATATTTCTCAGTAAAAAAAAAAAAATTAAGTAATTAGAATTTATTCAATAATTGTTTTAATTTTTTAAAAAATTAAAATTTTTTAAAAAATTAAAACAATTATTGAATAAATTCTAATTATCGCTTCATCTCCTTTCTTTTTATTTCTGTTTTTCATACTATTAGACTTCATCACTATTGAACCGACATTCTCCTATTCTGATGTTGATTTTGTGATTTGACTTTGGATTTAAAACCTTTCTAATATGACTGACTGATCCCATCAAATTAAACACAAATTAGAATTGAACAACATATTCAACCCTACATTTTTATTTCTCTCTTTTTTTAAAAAAAAAAAAAAAAATTGTATTTTAAAAAAATATAACTTTAAAGTTAAATTAACACTGGTGGTTTAAATCTATTGAACTTTGCTGATCAATTATTACTTTGTAGTGGAACTAGGGATATAGATTGACATGCAATTAGATGTATTTGAGCTTTTATACTTTCTTTACAGTTGAGTTGACGAGAATGCATAAATCGATTACCAACTATTCAGCAACATATGTTTTAGTAATCAATCAATGCTTATCAACAAAAAATAAATAAATAAATAAAATAAAATTTGAAAAGAGTGGTGATTGGTATGATCTTACAAAAACATGCATGTACGTATGTACTAGAAATGATGCTGTTATTTTATTTAAATGATATTATGTCATTGATTAATTGAAGATACACAAACATGTAAAGATACTATGCTTTTGAGGTACTTGATAATTTTAGCCTAACAGATGGTACCATTACCAACCTGTAATATCAGAAAAACAATCTACGAATCACACATAACATGTTATCTATTATAAAGATTGTTCAATTATATATTATAGTGTATTAACAGGCACGAGTAATTAATTACATCTTCTCATATTAAAACACTTATATGTCATGTCATTATGTGTTAGTAACATTGTGAGCTGATTGTTTGTTTGCTCCAAGTGCCCTCACCTGTACATTCTTTTTTTTCCTCTTTATAAAGCTTACCATTTAACAAAAAAAAAAAAATATTATTTAATTACTATACCTATATCCACATTGTAAAATATTAAAAGGCCAAACCGAGCTTGCGCTCATGCTCCACACGCATGCATCACACAGTTTTTTTTTTTTTTTTTTCTTTTGTCCATCACCTTTGTGGATCTCAAAAAATTACAGCGTTTCTTTGGCAATGTGAAGTTGTGAACTGATTAAAAAGCAGACAAACCTCGTAATTGTTAAAAAAACAAATAATTTCAGTATATATATTACACACACACACATTAACAAGATAAGTTCTGTTAACACGTCAACAATACTCTTCGGGCATTATGGGAATTCAATGCCTTTGTAGACTGGAACGGATCTAGAAATTTATGTTAGGGGGAAAAAATTTATATAGAGGTGTTTTTTTTCTTCATAATTTTAGTGAGGTAATTTTAAAATTTTATGAGTATAAATACAAAAAAAAAAAAAAATACAATTTTAGAGATATAAAATGTAATAATTTTTTTTTTTTTTTTAGTGTGGGCGTCACGCTAACATCGAAATTTTTATCCTTGAAATTTGATTGTAAAGTGTTACTATTACCTTTACAAATAAGCAAACAAAACAAATTAATAAAGAGTGACTTGTTTTTATTCTTGAAATTTCGATTGTAATTCAAATTTCAGATTTAGTTGTTTTTATTGATTAGCCCTCTTATTTTTTAGAAAAATTTTATTTTTAGTGTTATTTTCTTTTTGCTATTAGGTTTCTTTATGTTTTTAATTTTTAGTTTTCCTATATTATAATTATGTGTGTTATAAAGTATAATTATTTTATTCATTCAATTATTCAATACAATATCATGTTTTCTCTTAATTTATCTCTTACTTTGTACATTCAAAGTTGTTACTTTGTGGATTCAAAGTAGTTTATTGTGATACCCTTCAATTTCTAAGCGCGGTTAGATTAAGTCATCGCCCAAAAATCGAGAGATATCAAACAATTAATAATAGACAAGCACAGAATACAAATGGTTAACTAAGAAATAATAAATAATCGCTGAAAGGAAAACTAAATAATTATTAATAAATAAATCCCATCTACAAATCCTCCAAAATTAAATGCATTGTAATAATAATAATAACCTCCAAAATACAACTCGGGAATCCATATATCATGGACCCCTAAATAAATCCCATAATCTGAACTAACTAAATAAGTCTGAGACTAATATCAATAATAAAGGATAATGTCCCACGTCGAGATAAACAGAAGAGTGATGAAGAACTATCTCTAATCAGCACGAACAACCTCTAAGTCTGAAACAGAAGAGTGATGGTTGGACTGTAATGGCCGTGGGATGTGGTGGCGATGCTGAGGGTTGTGGTGGCAATGCTGGGGGTTGTGGTGGCAGGCAGTGGTGGGGGTTGTGGTGGTGGCGATGGTGGGGGTTGTGGCTACTGTTTTATGGTTGTCTGCAATTAGGTTAGTTCATTTTAGGTTAAATGTATTATAAATTTTTAAGGAATGGTTAGTTTGGTCATTTTATAGTATTATATTTTTTTACATAAATTTGAATTACAAATTTAGAGGCATCTGTGACATTTCAATTGAGAGGGTGTCAATGAAAATTTTTGAAACCTAAAGGGTGTCCTTGCCAAAAACCCGTTGACCAACATTGCATCGACGAAAATCTCAGGTGATTTCAGTGTAATTTACAGTATTTATCAATAACTAGTAAGGCATTTATGTCTCCCTCGGTGTGAGGCATTTATGTCTTCCTCACTGTGCTTGGGGGTTGTTATTTGTATATTTAGTTTTCTGTGTTATTTGCATATTTTCTGTGAAAATTTTGTTAGCTTTATTCAAAAGACATGAATTATTAAAAAAAAAAAATTAAAAATTAAAAATATATATTTTTTGTTTGAGATATGAACGGTTTATGATGACTACAAAGAAAGTTCAAAATCTTGGATAAAGCAAAGATTTTCAATACTAGATTTCAATTTAAAATTTAGTTCCAATGTCATCTGATTTATCAAATCATATACTTAAACCAAATTGATAGCATCCAATTTTTCAAAACCAATAAGATTCTTCTTTTGCAAGTAAAATCACCAATTTATTATGAGAAACACCAGAGATAATATATAACATCTTATCACTGGATTGACATAATTTCATAAAATACATAACCAACCCAAACTTTCTTAGGACAAAAGAAAACATGAAAATTATTTGAAATCATACACAAAGACACAAGTGTAATTGCACGTGTTGCCTTAACCACTTTAACCAAGCATTAAGGACAACATAAAGCATCCATTATTATAACTACGTCGAATACAAATGCAGTTAAATTATTAACGATTAAAAGATGAGGTAAAGATGGTTGATGATCATCGTCTAAATTTTCACTTGTCGTGATATGCTCCAATTGTAGTAAGATACTTGTCAGATCTTCCATGAAATCCGATGATCTTGCCACTAGTATCAGATCGGAATTCAAATTTCTCTCCATCCTCCATACCAAATGGTCCATATATTCTTTTGTTGCTTTGAAATCTAAGTGACCGGATAACAACCATTTTATTAACTTGTCCACAGTAGCCCCAAACTGAAAGCAAAAATTCACTAGGGTAGTCTAATTTGACCTACATAAATTATATCAGTAAAAAAAAATGGTAAGTATGTTTGGCATTCATATTTGTATAAATGAAAGATTAAATATTAAAATCCTTAACAAAAAAAAGAGGAAAATTTTGTTACTATTATAATGTATTAAATGACAAATTATACCTAACCGTGGCTTTTGTGCCACATTAGTATCATGCTTAGCGGACCATTGGAACTTCCCTTTTCTATTTTCTATTTTCTTTTTATTTTTATTATTATGTTATCTAGCTAGTAATACTTCACAAAACATGGGAGGCAAGACAAATATAATATATAATAAATTTGTACATGAGTCGTAGATTTGAAAATCAAATTACATATATATATATATATATATATATATATATATATATATATATATATATTACTATGTTTTGTTGTCCGCTGTCACTACCATGTTTTTTTTCCCGATATTGCCTTTCCTTCAATATCATTATAGATAACTTGAATGGAATCAATTAACCATCCAGACTGTATACTTATTTCCCTTATGGTGTTGTAAGTTCCGTCATCCCATTTCTGTCCACTAGTATTTCCAAATGGACCAACACTAGGTATTATAGTTTGGATTGGGATTAGCTTAATGTATACTCCAATCGAATTAACAACATCACCCTACCTTCCAAAGAATCCAACAATCTTGTCAGAAGTTGACGGGTTTGTAAAAGGAGTTCCTTCCTCCTCACCATATGGTCCATATTGCCTTGTATTGCTTTGTAATGTAAAAGATTTCACAACATGTGTATTAAGATAGGACCCTGTGTATCCTGATATTGAGACGAGGTACTCGGTAGGATAATTTAATTTGACCTGCAAGATTTAATAGAACAAGGATAAGTATTACGACAAACACATGCAAATTAACCCCAAACATAATAGAAAAATAGAATTACCTAAAAACGTAACGTTCACAGTGAAAATTGGCAAAATGATTTCACTATGCAGAAAAAATAGATATTACAAGTTTTTAAGCCCACAATTTTTTTGTCTCTCAAACTCTTTATTTTGTCTTTCATTTTTTTTTTTCTCATACCATTCTACAAAACCTAATACAGACTAGAATCCGAGTTCACGATCTGCAAGACAAAATTGGGTGATTTTTTTTTTGAAGCCAAAGCCAGATAATCGGATTAGAAGTGGGTTACAGCAAGAACTGGGCTGAAATAAAACACGATTAACAAATTTACAGATTTGTATGTTAAGAAATGTATATCTAGTTGTATAACTTGTATGCTTTGTAAGGTGGATGGTGGAGTTCTAAGATATGTATTTATCATTTATATGCAGTGACTGAGTCAATATTTCATTTAAAGAGAGGCTAGTGTACTTGATAAAAAACAAAAATAAAATCAACACAAATGTCGAATTGTTCATATCAAAAGCCAAGCAAATTAATAATAATAATAATTATTGAAAAACAATACGTTATTTAGAGAGATAGGAATCTATTTCAGGGAGCCTCAATAATGTGGTATAGTCCGTCATTTTTTATATATATATTTTTTATTTTGAGATGTTATTTTGTCTAACTAGGTAGCGTCCACAAAATATGACACACACGATAAAAATAGAATCAAATAAATTTGTGCATGAGTTGTATATTTGAAAATCAAATTGCGGCGCGCACACAGAAATACATATATTATACCCTGTTTGGTTCTTCGCAGTCACGACTGTGTTTTTTCTCGTAATTGGATTTCCTTCACCATCATCATAGACAACTTGAATGGTTCTAACTATTGATGCGGAATATATAATTAATTCTCTTATTGTATTGTGGGTTCCGTCATCCCATGGTTGCCCATCTTCACGACCATGTGGCCCGAAAGCAACTTCCTGTCCATCCGCCATGTTGTCCTTAAAGCTATAGATGAGTTTAGTACTTCAAATTTGTATGAAAATGTAATTAAATCAAAAGGCGATATATATATAGATATTTAGACGACCAATCAATAATAATATGTGTAGTTTATGAAATCTAGATATTTAGACGACCAATCAAGAATACTATAGGTGGATAAGTTATTTTCTTTTTTTCTCTTGATACGCGAATATGAAGAACAATTACTTACCCATCTATGGCTATGAAATTGATGCTGATATAGAAGTAACTTTTGAGGATCAATCAAGAAAAATAGAATAAAAATGGAAAATAAAAAGATTGCAGATTAATAAAAATGGAAAATAAAAAGATTGCAGATGTAATAGCCAAAAAGAAATGGAAAATATGTTAACAAATTTGGAGTTTCAAATTTGGAATTGGCTTAAAATATGTCATCGCTTACATCATCAGTTGCATATGTCATCGCTTACATCAGCAATTGCATATGTCATCGCTCACATCAGGCTTTGCTTACATCATTTCTTACATCATCAGGGAGATTTGTTGGCTATAAATAGACCTTGTATCTCATAGTTTCATTCATTCGAAAATCATCCAAGAGCATTCAAGTGAGCAAAGAGAGTTTGGAGAAAATAATATTTATTTTCTCATTTGTGAGCCTTTTGTAACCTTTTGGGTTTTGATATTACATTGATCTTGAGCTCCCGTGGACGTAGGCACATTGCCGAACCACGTAAATCTTTGTCTTCCTTTTGTGTGTGTGTTTTCTCCTATTTATTATTTTGTGAGTGTATTCTTATTGTGTGTGTGATCACAACCACCATTATTTATTTGTTGGGCCCAAGCTTCCGCACAACAATTGGTATCAGAGCATCACGGTTCTGTTCTTTTCGGTGATCGTGATTGTTGAAAAAGTAGATGGCAACCGCAAAATTTGATATTGAAAAATTTGATGAGCGCAACAACTTCAGCATGTGGCAATGCGAAGTTATGGATGTTCTGACTCAATAAGATTTAGACACTGCTCTGGGGAAGGAGAAACCAGAAGAAATGACGGAACAAGATTGGAAAAAGATCAATCGTAAGGCTTGTGATCAAATTCGGCTTTATCTCAGAAAGGATCAGAAATATCCTTTCATGCATAGAAGTTTCAGCAGACAAGCTTTGGACGCAACTGGAGGAGAAGTATATGACAAAGAACATTGAAAATCGGCTCTATTTGAAGAAAAAGCTCTTCCGGTTTGATTATAAAGAAGGTATGTCTATGTTCAAGCATCTAGATAATTTTAACAAAATTCTTGCTGAATTGCAAAATTTGGATGTTAAAATTGATGATGAAGATAAAGCATTATTATTGTTAAACTCTCTGCCTAATTCGTATGAACATTTGACTACCACACTACTGTATGGAAAAGAAGAAATTAAATATGTTGATGTCTCTAATACCCTCATGAATAATGAGCTTCACAAGAAGGATAAGGAGGTTAATAGAGACTCAACAGCTGAAGCTGTAGAACAGATCAGAAAAAGTCTGGTAGCCGTGGAAGATCTCAATCCAGATCAAGAGGAGCATCAACTTTGGGCAAGAAAAATCTTGCCAAAGATGAATGTGCTTTTTGTCATAATAAAGGGCATTGGAAGAAGGATTGTCATAAATTGAAAAACAAGAATGACAAGAAGATTGCCGCCAACATTGTTAGCAGTGACGATGAAGCTGTAGAGTTTGCTTTGACTGTATCTGTGAAACCCTAAAATTCTGTATATTATTTTTATTATTTAGTATTTAGTATTTCAACGTGATAGTAGAGATAATAGAGTTTTTTTTAAAAAAAATTTAAAACTTTAAATAGGAGTCCTAGATTATCTCAAATGCTGTTATATTAATCCTTTATATTTTTTTTTACGTCGTATCAGTACAAGGATATTATTTTTCGTAAAAAAAAAAAAAAAGAAAGAAATTACCGAGACAGAAAGAGAGGAAGCGGGTTACTGATTTTTCGTTGACAATCTGCAACTAGTAGCCGGAAAAAGAGACGGTGACCAAAGGATTGGCTAGAGAGAAAGGTTTAACGATATTTAACAGGCAAGTTAATCTTGCCTTGTACACTTATATATATTTGTGACATTATTTGTTAAGTGTTCTAATTAATCATTATATTTGGTGTTAAGAATTAATAGTATTTTAATGAGATTTTAATCGAAATAGATTGGCAGTAGATTATTAGAACTTAAATAATTTAACTGTAGGAATAGTTATTTGGTGATTGTTGTTTTTGTTTATGTTTAGGTATGAAATCAAACAATAACAATATTGTTGTTTAATTCATTATGGGTGGTAGGCATGCATACGTGTGTGTGTGTGTGTGTGTGTGTGTGTGTGTGTGTGTGTGTCTATATATATATATATATATATATATATATATATATATATATGGTGTTTTCGATTGATATATTGCAATATGAAAAAAAATTGGTTTGTTATGATTGTGTATATATAATATTTAGATATATATGAATATATGATTAAATGAAAATCAAAGGAGGAATTTATTCTTGTAGAAATTATTCATGCATTGATGGATTTGAATTTTATTTTGAAATGACATAGTTATACTCTGTAAACAGAAAAAGGTCATGAACTTGTTTAACTTTAATATAGAATTTTGGGTTAATTAGAAGTTGGAATGAATTATAAGTATTGGTTGAATCTGAGCGTACTAGTGAATGAGGAATTCATGTTTTTTTGGGTTTTCTATAGTGTCACTATAGGCTTACTATGAGAGGAAGAGTCAGGCCCATGTTGAGTCTGATGTTAGTCAACCACTAGGCCCAATCTGGGAAGCTACATTCGGGCCAACTGAATTAGATGTATTTCTTTTGAAATTCTTTCTTTCTTATTAGTTTTAACTTAGAATAATTAAGGAAAAATATTTTAAACATTTCAAAAATTATGAAATTTTCCAGATTATTATATTTTAGTATAATGAATCTAGTTTTGTTAAAATCCAGATTTTAAATGTTATTTGGGTAAGTTTACCAAATTAAACCTTGAAAAAGTATGATTTCTCAACACTAAAAGGGAGAGTATGGAAAAACTATTAAGAGTTAAATTCTGAAATTTTGCAGGGTATTTTATCTAATGTTAGGCTATGTCCAAAAATTTTGTACTCTCACTAGTTGGATCTTTAGGGTTCTGTTTTAAAATTAAAGTGGTGTTTGGGTGTAGTAATCATTAATTTGAATTATTAATCAATGATACCTTTCATAATTTACCATAATTAATAATTAATGGATGAGTTTGGATTAGTCGAAGTGGTAGTCAGGGGTTGACCCTATGATGACTTTTGGGTATGGTCAGGGACCTACCTATTTGGGAGTGCACTACCCTTTTATTATGGCCATGGGTCTAATGAGCCCTTATTGTGTGGACGTGATCAGGGATCATCTGGGGAGTAGACGTACAATCCAGCCACACGTGTCTTTTCGGTAGTCAGGGACTATACGAATCACACCACTTTATTGGATGGGTGCCCGGGGCTCAGATGAGATATGCAAATTTACTTAAAATAAATGATGGTTATTTATTGAGCTTATAATTAACTAGAATATACATTTAATTAATGAATTTATTGAGTTGCTTATATATATGGGAATACAAGGTAAGGTTAGCTTGCTGAACGATGATTGTGTTTAGCATTTCTTACTGAGCTTGTGAGTTCACCCCATTATCACATTTCAGGTGCTCGTAAAGTAAGAACGTGATGGTGACACGTGACGGGAACGGATTTTAGCTCGTTGCACATTGATTTATTTTAGCTCGGTTTTCCTTTATTATGATTATTGTAATAAAGTTAATGTTTTATGAAACTTTATCGAGTTAATTCAGTGGTCATAGATGTTTTGTTTCACTAGAGGGAATTGCACCTCTATTTATGGATTTGTATAAAATTTGTCAGACTCTCATGTTTATTAAATTGAATGATGGGATTCATCGTAGTTCTATTATGGAGGATGTATGTTGAGAATTGATGGAAGTTATACCTTAGATTTTTATGCAGGACAAGTAGTTCTTGTGTTAAAATTTGGGGTGTGACAGTTTGGTATCAGAGCCTAGGTTAAGAATTACCTGGCTAAGAGAAGTGATAGTAAGAATAGGAGCATATACTTATACAAATTATTGCTCTATTACCATGCTCCAGTTAAAGTATAAATTACATTTGAGACTTATCATTGATATTCTTTACTGAAAATAGGATGTCAGGAGTTGGAAGTGGCAGAGGACGACCTGCTAGAGGCAGAGGTCTGGGAGGTGCTGGTCGTGGTGGTGTTAACCATGACGATATTCAGTTGGAGGATGCACCTTATGCTCCGAATCCTATGATTGGATTTATCAGAGATATCCGCAAATTGGGGGGCTTTTGATTTCGTCAGATCTACCGATCCACTTGATGCCGAGAAGTGGATTGAAGATTTGGAAAGATATTTTGAGATGATGGACTGCACTGAGGTGTAAAAAAGGAAGATTGGCGTTTTTCTTTTATCTGGTGAGGCACGCCAGTGGTGGCAGTCAGAGACCAGGATGGTTGTGGACATTGCAACTATGACCTGGGATGATTTTAAAACTCGGTTCAACGACAAATACTTTCCACAATCAGTGAAGGAGAAGAAGGCAACTGAGTTCATGCAGCTGGAACAGAATCATGATATGACAGTTAGTGAGTACGAGAGAAAGCTTACAGAGCTATCCCGATTCGCTCCTCACATTGTTGCGAATGAGTTACACAAAGTCAGAAAGTTCGAGCGAGGATTGGTCTCTTATGTGAAGAAGTTTGTGGTGGGTCATCATTTTGACACTTATGCTAAAGTGGTGGAATGTGCCATGGCAGTAGAGGAGAATAATAACATTGCCTTTCAGAAACAGAAGGAGTGTAGGGCAGAACAAAAAAGTAAGGGGGCTAGCAGTTCTCAACAGAATCAGAGTAACTCTCAACAGAATCAAAGGGGTCAG